GCCTCTCTTGCATACGTTTGCCCTCCTTAAAAGTCAAATAGAGTCTGATAAAATAGCAGAGCCTTTTAAAACACCACAAGGAGATTTATAGACGCTCAGAAAGTGGTGGTCTCATGAGCTCACACGAGCCCCGTGAAGCTCACTGTGTCCTGCTTGCGTCTCAGCGATGCTGAGCAAGTAGAAGAAAATATCTTTGTGGCTTGGTTCAGGCACGTCTTGAATCTTCCTTGTGCCTCTTCTTTATGGCATCCTGCATCTCTTTGGCATTAAACACAAGCTGCTGGTTACGTCTTATAGAGCAATTCTTGTGCTGCCGTATGCCTTATTGAGATGTTGACTCTTCCCTCCCAGGTCATGAGTCTCTGTTCCCGATTCTGAAATGTCCAAGTCTCTAGATTCTTCCATCCTGATGAAATCACCCATGAGCATATGTAATGATGCTGATTTCCCCAAACCTTGCTGGTTTTGATGGTATAGCTTCAAGGAATATCACAGCTGAATGTCATGCCAGTGTTTCTGTCTCCCAAGGTCGTCTCAGCGGCTCCTGATGGTTCCCATCCAGTCTATCTTCAACCCTCTCTGCACTCTGTCTCCTATTTTAAGGTCTTCAAAACAGGAATCATCTCCTTACTCTGTATTTATACAGCATTTAATGTGATGCTGTGATAATACCTTTCAAAGTGTTGTTGTGGTAGTTGACAATCTTGGGAATGCTGTCCTTTTTTTAACTATATATATAAATATATATATCTGTATATAGAGAGAATTTATATATAAAGTCATAGAATAGAATAGTCAAGGTTGGAAAGGACCTTAAAATCATCCAGTTCCAACCCCCCTGCCATAGGCTGGGGCACCTCACACTAGACCATGGCACCCAAGGCTCTGTCCAACCTGGCCTTGAACACAGCCAGGGATGGAGCATTCACAGCTTCCCTGGGGAACCCATTCCAGTGCCTCAGCACCGTCACAGTAAAGAACTTCTTCCTTATATCTAACCTGAACTTCCCCTGTTTCAGTTTGAACCCATCACCCCTTGTCCTGTCACTACAGTCTTGGACGAAGAGGTGTGTGTAGTTATAGATATATTTTTATGTATATAAATACAGAATCATAGAATGGTTTGGGTTGGAAAGGACCTTAAGATCATCCAGTTTCAACCCCCTGCCATGTGCACGGACACCTTGCACATGAACATACATACTACATATATATAAATACATATATATGCATACTTATATGTATATATTGGCAAGGAACAAAAGTTAAGACATTGTAGCATGTTAACATATAAAAATTCACAAATAATGGAAACTGTATTATTCTTCTGTCCCTATCTTGCCTTTTGTAGTAACTCTCACACCAGCTGCTTTGTGTGGGGAAACTGAAAAGGTGATCTCTGATCTCACTGGGAAAGAAAGCTTTTTCTAAAGCACTGCACTGGGACTAAATCTGCCTACCATGCGATGCTGAGGATTTGTGATCCTCGGCAGGCATTTGACAGATCTTAACTAGTTATGCTATGTTTTGTCAATCAAAATTAAACGCCCACCTCCCTCCTTCCTACTTTCTCTCTCTTCCAGCTTTTTTTATTTAGGTTGGTCATTAAAATTGCTGATAACCATAGAAACGAGGAAAACCCGCCCCTTCCATTCCAGCTCTTTAGGGTGATATTCCTGTACTGACATCATGTGAGTTATAGACATGATGGCTTAAAAAAAAACCAAAAACCCCTACAGGTAGGCAGAGTTGTCATTAATTCCTCCCTATACCAGAGCTGTTCCTACGGATGCATGTCCCTCTTGCATTCCTATGTGGTTTCTAAGAGAAAGAGAGATCCTGCTGCAAAGAAACCACCTGACAGGATAGAATTAAAGAAGAAAACAGATAGATCCGTGGGATAGGAAGGGTGGGAGGATGAGAAGAGGAGAAGATGGGTCGGCAAGAAGTCTCATGCTCGACACAGTGCGTGCTGGTAGTTTCAGTGTTGGTTTTCACCCTCGTAGGGCTGCTTGCACCATTGGGTGCTCTGAGATGGGCATGATACAAGGATGCTCCGGAGGGACTCTTCATTAGTGTCTGTAGGGATGGGTGATGGGTTCAAACTGAAACAGGGGAAGTTCAGGTTAGATCTAAGGAAGAAGTTCTTTACTGTGAGAGTGGTGAGGCACTGGAACAGGGTGCCCAGAGAAGCAGTAAATGCATCTGTGGCAGGGTTGAAGGCCAGGTTGGACAGAGACTTGGGTGCCATGGTCTAGTGTAAGGTGTCCCTGCCCATGGCAGGGGGTTGGAACTGGATGATCTTAAGGTCCTTTCCAACCCAAACTATTCTGTGATTCTATAATGTTGATACTTCTATAACGCCCATAAGGTTTCTATGGTTAAGGACCTGAATCCCCACTTGGCAGGATGGGATGTCTCGTGGCTCAGCTTGTGCTGAAAAATCAAAATGGTTGCTGACTTTCTGTTTGTAGAGGCTGTTTAAAAACACTTGACCCAAGTTTGCATGAAAGTGATGGAAAACTCTTGCATTAGGAGCTGTGAGTACCCTGATATTTCATTGCTGTACAACTAATGCTGTTTCAATTTGGAGCAGGATTGTTCCATGTGAGATTGGTTTCTAAACCTTTTCCCTCACCTTAAGTTGCAATATTAGGTGTTTCATTTTTTACAAATGAAAGGAGTAATCAATCAGATGAAAATAGGTAACTGCAGCTGCCAGCATTGCTTTCTGTAGCTTGCTCACTATTGCTCTTTGGGAAGTGGGTAGCACATGGCAAGTGGTACATTTGGTCAAGGAATGACTTTCCTGTATGGCAGGACTGGAGGGATCTCTGCTTTAGCTGTTTTCTAATAGATTTCAATCCAAACCAACCCACAAAAAGCCAAAAGAAACCCACAAACCCCAGGTAAACCACTCCCAGCACTGCTGACTATTGATAGATGGACTTTCTGTCTGCCAATATGTGGTTGTGAACCAGCAGACAGTGGTACTTCATGTTGACACTTCCTTAGATGTGATAGAGGAGGAAAAGGATTTGAACAAGGAGTCCTGCATCTCTGTGATACCAATGCACATGCTTCGTATGTTGCTGTGCTGCAATTACAAAAAGGGAAGGCTGCCTCCTTGAGCAGTCAGCGTGTCTTGATGTTTGAAAGGTCTCCAGATGGAGATGGGGATTGCTCCTGAGGTAGTTGGATGCAAAAGTTTCATTGCTTGCTCTATAGGATGGTTCATCTCTTGGGAAGATGGATTTTGACCTTTGGCCAGAGAAATAAAGAGGAAGAAGTGTTGTGTGATGTAGCATGACAAGGTGTTGCTGAGGGACATCTTAAAAATTAAAGGTCTTACTTATTTACCCTGTCTTTGAAAGCTGGCACCAAGTATTGTACTTTGAACTTCAAGGCCCTTAATGTTTTTTTGTATGTGTTGGAGCTTCTGCTGTTGGCTTTAGAGCCAACAATAGGTTGTACTCATTGAAGAGGAGGAAATGGTAATTGTGTTTTTTCTATGGGTATGAGAACTCAGGACAGGAGCTTCTTTAGCATCCTTTGCTCCTCCCTTCAGCCCCAGTGTCATCCCGTGTGATTTGACCTCTCCCATCCCATTCCAGGAAAGAATAAGAAAGCATTGATGATAAGTGGGATAATGCTTCTCCTACTTGAAACTAACCAACCAACCAGCCAAAATTTCCAGCAGTTTAGTTGATTCATATAATCATATAATCATGGAATGGTTTGGGTTGGAAGTGACCTTAAAGCTCATCCAGCTCCAACCCCTGCCATGGGCAGGGACCCCTTCCACTAGAGCAGCTTGCTCCCAGCCCCTGTGTCCAACCTAGCCTTGAATACTGCCAGGGATGGGGCAGCCACAGCTCCTCTGGGCAACCTATGAGTGCCTCACTACTATCATAGTAAAGAACTTCTATGTACTTAACTTCACAGAGTGTAAAAGTGCCTCTACCTGAGTTGCCTGAGCCATTCTTTTTCTTATTTGCTGTTTTATATTTTATTAAAGCATAATAATCTGCATTAAAAACATGTTAAATTCCTTCCGAAGCATTGGTTTCCAATTTTGGGATGTAAAATCCGTTGTTAACATGTATGTGTGTGAAATGGGCTTATTCCATCATTAACTAAAGTCTCCAGAGTTATTTCAGCTATCAGATCTTTGTGGATTTTTGTTCCAAAATATTCAGTTGTGTATCTGTCTACGTAGATAAGATATCTCTGTCTATTGCTCGATACACAACCATGTGCATATGTCTGAATAATCTTCCCCAAAGTAGTATTTATTTTTTTCTTTTTCTGTGTATTTTTAGTTAAAAAAATCAATTCTAAAGATACCATAATGATTTTTCAGTCTGGTAACTTTGCTTTAAAACAGATTGGTTGCTGTTAGAAAGGCACGGGTCTTCTATGTGGCTCTGTGTTGTACCATCCTAGCGAAGGTTTTGCTCTTCTGTGCTGAGACCTCATCCAGTACTGGGTCCACTTGATTGTGTGGTTCTAGCTTAGCAATCCCTTCAGTTGGATGGGCTTTGTTTTGGTAGGAAATGTGGGATAAATGCTGACAGATCCTGCTTAACTGGCTAAGAGTGAATATAAAACATGGGATCATGAAGAAGGCGAAAATGGAAGTCATATGAAATCATACATTGCAGATAACAAATTGCATATTGTATTTCAATAGGCATTCCCTAATGCTTGCATCCTGAAACTAAATGGAAGGAGTGGTTTGGTTCTAGGTTTTTTAAATGTGTATTACATTGTCAAGAGATTTTATGTGGGCCTAAGTCAGATATACAATATATACATTGCCTAATGCATATATTTCTCTTTAAGTATTTCACAGGGTGTGGAAACTCCCAAAATCAAACCTAAAGATACGGCTAAAACCTGAGTCTTGGGAATACCTGTGCTTTAGACGGGGGGGAAACCAGCAGATAAAAAACCTGTATGAACTTCTGATTTCCATTTTCTTTCCTTTTTCCTAACAGAGACAACACTGCTAAGACAGCCTTGGCTCCGTTGGGCTATTGCTGCCTAGTGCTGAACAAGTGGCTCCGCAACACAAAGGCTATTGTGGGTGAGATATATTTTGCTGTTTGCTTTCTTTGACAGTTTTTACTGTTTCAGGTTCTTTCCTATAGTTTAGTTGTTTCTATCCATATCCCTTCATTGCTTTTGTAGACTCAGCCTCTGGAGTCTACAAAACATCAGCGCTTACAGATGTTCACCTCTGGATGGCGTTTTCTGCTCTTGTGGGTGGTTTCCTTGTTTTAACTGGTTAGGATTGGGTGATCTCCATCCAAATTCTCTCCCTGATGATTGATCTTGCCTGGCTTTGCTGGTTTGTTAAGCTCTGGGATGTCAGATGTCCCATTCTTGTGGTACATTGACTTTGAGTTGGGCTTTCTGACCAAAGCGAGCTTTAATGGTGCTCCCTGCTAGGAGCAGATGGTCAGTGAAACTTCAATTTCTCAAGGTGTAACAGACTGTATTTGTAAAACCTATAGAGCATTTGATCAGCAGAAATAGTTTTCTTAAACTACATCTGTTTTTCCCACCTGGAGTACCATTAACAGTAATTTCTATCGTGGTTAGAACAGTTGTTTCGTGTGCTTCAACTTAAGAGTAGGTGATAAGTCTTTTCTTGGGTATTTTTGGTTTGGCGTCTGTTCCTTCTTCATAGAATACATCAGAAAGCATTCTACAATTAGAAAATAGGAAGGGTTTTATATATTTAACTGAATCAATTGGTTATCTTGCACTTAATTCTTAGAGAGTTCATGGTCTTTGAAACAAGTCCTTAAGAAGGATTTTATTTGTCTGCCTTCATTTCTCATAGCATGGGGAACCTCGATGTGTTCCAGCCCCACTTTGTATGCAGAGCTAACCAAATCTGTACCATTCAGTCAATAGTATGCAAAAAGTATGACTCTTAGCATCCTGAGTAATCACCAACAACAGAGTAAATACAAGGGTAATGAGATTAAGGGGACAAAGGAACACAAGCATTTGCGTGCACGTCCCCATGGGCCCATAGCTGGTGGCAGCCCCAGGCCCAGCATGGCTGTAGATGCAGTAGTGATTTTGCTGCTGTTTCTTGTACAGGGCTTAATGAGTTCCTACTGCTGGCATGTTTATTTAGATACAATATCATATCATTAAATCCCACTCTTTGTAAGAGGTTTTTATTTTCTTAGATCTTTATATTTTTTCCTTGTCTTTTTTCTAGTGCTGGGGCTCAGTGCGTCTGATTGGCACTTGTCTCCTGAAGTCTTCTCCCAGGCATCTAATACCCTCTTAGATGTCTCCTCAGTGCCACAGAGGAATTGGCCTAAGTCTTTTCTGGGAAACTCACTGAATATTGTAATAAGAAGTGTATTGAGATTTAACTCTTATTTTCTTATCACAAGCTCTATCTTGGCTTGATTTCATTCGTCCCTTGCCTTTCTTTTTCTATGGATGAAGACGGGGTGGATGTTCTTCATTGGATGCTCTTCATTAAGTCTTTCAGGGAGAGAAAGACTCATTTCCAATCAAAACCATGACTTTCCCTACTGTAGTATCTCTCTTTGTTCCACTTTAGTGGGTTTTCTGGGCATGGTGCTCTCTGTCCATCTTCCTCTAGCATCTTCTGCCACTCAGCAATGTTTTCTCAATACCTCAGAATTGTATATTCCAGTTTTCTCCACCCAAAACTGCCTATGCGTGATTAACTCAAAGCTGTAGGCACCGACTCCCCTTACTGGTCACTTGTCAAACTGCAATGTATTTTTTTGTCTGTTTTAAATGAAAATGCCTTCCTGAGAAACCCATTTCGATTACTCGAGATAAATCTTGTACTTTGACTCCAGCTTTTCTTTTTACGGTGGCTCTGATTAAACTGTGAACCTTCAGCTGACACAATTCAGGTAGAGCATGGGCACTGCATATTGCTGAAATGAATTATTCGCCTCTTAGCTTTTGTTTCTATTTGTTGGAGATTTTTGTGGGGTTTTGGTTAGTTGCTGTTGCTTTCTTCATTTAGTGTTGTGAGGTATTTTCCTCCTGTTTCAATAGAGCAGGGCAGTGATTTCTCTCTCTCCTGTTAGCTCTTTTGCATTTGGGCATGAGGATGATTGGTTAAAGGATCAGCAGCACAAGCAGTGTTCACCTTGATCCTTCCAACTTCAGGGAATGATGGGGGAAGACACAGGAAAACCCAGCAGATCAGTATCTGGCTCCTACCTTGGTGTCATAGGGGTTTTAGTGGGGTTTTGGTCTTACTGGTCTGTATAACATCAGTCCAACTGGCACCAGAAGGGGTACCCCTGTGTCAAAGGGGAAAAGGATCTTTGCACACAAGTTAGCAGGGCTCTCTGTAAGAGTTCTAAACTGCATCTGAAGGGAGAAAAGGATAAAAGCTATGGTTATTGATGTTTTAGAAATGATGGGAGTGCCTGAGAGTGGTGGTGTAAAAATTAGGGCTTTTCACCCCCAAAAGGTGGCGGGATCAATAGCCCAACTGAAGTGCATCTGCACCAATGCAGGTAGCACGGGTAACAAACAGGAGGAGCTGGAAGTCGTTGTGCAGCAGGAAAACTATGATACAATTGCCATCATGGAAACAAGGTGGGATGAATGGCACAACTGGGGTGCTGCAGTGGATGTCTATAAACTCTTGAGAAGGGATAGGCAAGGAAAGAGAGGTGGTTGGGTAACCCTGTGTGTTAGGGAGTGTTTTGAATGCCTAGAGCTTAATGATGGTGACGATATCGTGGTGGGAGTCTCTTATAGAGCACCCAGCCAGGATGAAGAGACAGAAGAAATATCCTCTAAGCAGCTGGGAGAAGCCTCACAATGGCCAGTGCTTGTTCTTGCAGTGAACTTCAACTTACCAGATGGCTCCTGGAAATATGATACAGCAGAGGGGAAACATTCTGGTAGGTTCATGGATCAAGTGTACCCTCAGTAGGTTTGCAGAGGACACCAAGTTCAGTGGGAGTGTTGATCTGCTTGGGGGTAGGAAGGCCGTACAGAGAGACCTGGACGGGCTGGATCGATGGGCCAAGGCCAATTGTATGAGGTTCAAGAAGGCTCAGTGCTGGATGCTGCACTTGGGCCACAACAACCCCATGCAAGCTTCAGGTGTGGGGAAGAGAGGTTGGAAACTGCTCATGGAAAAGGAGCTGGGGGTGTTGGTCTGCACCACAAAGAAGACTCAGGGGGGATGTCACTGCTCTCTACAGCTACCTGAAGGGAGGTTGTAGTGAGGTGGGGATTGGTCTCTTCTAAGTAAGAAGTGACAGGACAAGAGGGAATGGCCTCAAGTTGCACCAGGGGAGGTTTAGACTGGAGATGAGGATCAATTCCTTTGCAGTAAGGGTTTTCAAACATTGGAACAGGCTGTCCAGGGCAGTGGTGGAGTCACCGTCCCTGGAGGTGTTTAAAAGACATGCAGATGGGGCACTTAAGGACATGGGTTAGTGTCAGGTTAACGGATGGATTTGATGATCTTAAAGGTCTTTCCCAACCTGGTTGATTCTATGCTTGTCTCCTATCACAGCTTTGCCTGGAGCTGAGATTTCCGTTCCAGACTGTGTTGCTGGAAGTCAGCCCAACGCCTTGGTATTGGCTGGGCAAAGTAGGAGAGCATTTGGGTGCTTCACTCTGATGCTGTGTGAAGGAGGAGGTATGATTCCACTGAACTGCTGTCCAACAGCACAGCTTGGAAAGGCCCTCTGAGTTCACCAGTGAGGAGAACTAAGAATCAGAATCGTTTGAGTTGGAAGAGATCTTTAAAGGTCATCTAATCCAACCCTTCTCCCATGAGCAGGGACTCCTTCCACTACACCAGGTTGCTCAGAGCCCCATTCAAGCTGACCTTGAATGTTTCCACGAATGGGGCATTTAACCACCTCCCTGGCCAACCTGTGCCAGTGTTTCACCACCCTCATCATAAATATCTGTCTTAGAAGCTAAATAGATGGGGTTTTGAAGGAAACAGTTCCTCCCGTGCCTTGAAAGACATGATATAAGGCAGTCTGATGGTGAATAAAGTAGGTTTTGAGGTTGATTGGTGGGGTGATCTCTCCCCCTCTCTCTTAGTTCCATTTACATTTGGTAACTGGGAGACCAGTTGAACTCAGTGATGCTTTCTCACTGTTGAGAGTCACATTGCTGGTCAGCATGCAAAGACCTCGTGCTGGTTCCTTCCAGACATTGCATTGTAGGTGGAAGAGGTGTTGGTGATATGCAGGGGAGTGAGACCTTCATAAGGGGAGGAAGCTGTTAAAAGCCGCGACATGATTGTTTCTACTTTCATTTTGATCTCTTTGCAAATAGACAAGTGGTGGAAGCACAAAACGTATTTGTATGAGTACAAGGGAGGGACTTGCACGTATTCCTGTGTGAGGGCAGGGATAACTGTTCAGCTTGCTACAGCATCTAATACTGGCGATGAGCACTAAACATCTTGCAAGAGACGTTAAAACTTGAGGAATCTCTTTCGTTACCTCGTAAGTGAATGATTAAACCTTCTGCATCTTCTCTTTCACTCTGGGAATCTTTCAGTTGCTGTGCTTGTTTGCTTTAGAAATCATATTAGAAGCCAAGAGTGGCCTCATTATTTATTTATTTACTAGGAAAGCACTTCTCTCTGCCTGCTTTATGCAGAAGCACTTGCATTGATCTTACAGATGGTCGAGGAGAGGCCAGAGGAGAAAATATCTAACACAACGTGTAATTCTCTGTTTTTTGCCTCAAAATAAGAAGCCACTTTGCTTAAGATTTATGCATCCACACACATTTTATGCACACGGTGCAGCTCTGTTTTATCGGCCTGCTGCAGCAGGCTGAGGCAAAGAAATGCCTTGATCAATGGTAGGAACTGATTCAGGGTAACTCCCAAACTGTTCCAGTGATAAACGCGGTGCCAGTTTCTTGCCACCTTGATGATAATTGTTGTTTCGTTTTACTTTTGTGGGTGTTTTTTTCTTTAATTTCCTTTTTTAATCTACTTGAAAGTTAAAAATTAAAATGATGCAAATGAATTTCTTGCTGTGCTCTACTGAAGCAGAACAACCCCCTCTTAAACCAAGA